TCACCACGTTCTCGCCTCCGGAGCTAATGTTAACATGCTTATCATTGACTCTCAGCCTTACTCCGAGCGCACCGCAGCCGATCCTACCCGCAGAAAGAAGGATATCGGTCTGTATGCCATGAACTATGGCAACGCCTACGTCGCTTCCGTCGCTGTGTACGGCTCCTACACTCAAGTACTCCAGGCTATGGCCGAGGCTGAGAAGTTTGAGGGTCCCTCCGTCATCGTCGCCTACTTGCCTTACAACCAAGAGAATGACTCCGCTTTGACTGTTCTCCAGGAGACCAAGAAGGCTGTTGACCTTGGATACTGGCCCCTGTACCGCTGGAACCCCGCCAACGAGGAGAAGGGTGAGGCCAAGTTCATCCTGGACTCTGACCGCATCAGACGTGAGCTTGAGGAGTTCCTGCGCCGTGACAACCAGCTTACGCAGCTCACAAACCGTCAACCCAAGTTCTCCTCTGTCCTTGCCGAGTCGTATGGTACCGAAGTCCGTGCCTTGCAGAAGCGCCAGGCCAAGGACTCTTACGAGAAGCTGCTCGAGGGTCTCTTCGGTGCTCCTCTGACCATTCTTTTCGCCTCGGATGGTGGTAATGCACAGAACATTGCCAAGCGCCTTGGTAACCGTGGTCGCGCTAGAGGTCTTAAGACCCTTGTTCTGGCTATGGATGACTACCCCACTGAAGACCTCGCCACTGAGGAGAACGTGGTCTTCATCTCCAGCACCGCTGGTCAGGGAGAGTTCCCCCAGAACGGCCGTGGTCTGTGGGAATTTGTGAAGAACTCTGGCGACTTGGATCTTTCCTCCATCAACTACTCCGTCTTCGGTCTCGGTGACAGCCACTACTGGCCCCGCAAGGAAGATAAGATCTACTACAACAAGCCTGCCAAGGATCTTGATGCTCGCGTCGCCTTCCTGGGCGGCCGCAAGCTTACCGATATTGGTCTGGGTGACGACCAGGATCCCGATGCTTATCAGACTGGCTACTCTGAATGGGAACCTCGTCTCTGGCAGGCTCTTGGCGTCGACAAGGTCGAGGGTCTTCCGGAGGAGCCTGCTCCGTTGACCAACGAAGATATCAAGATCCAATCGAACTTCCTGCGTGGTACCATTGCCGAGGGTCTTTTGGACGAGAGCACTGGTGCCATCTCGGCCAGTGACCAGCAGCTCACCAAGTTCCACGGAACCTACATGCAGGACGACCGTGATGTTCGTGACGAGCGTAAGGCTCAGGGCCTTGAGCCTGCTTACAGCTTCATGATCCGTTGTCGTCTGCCGAGTGGTATCGCCACTCCTTGGCAGTGGCTACAGATGGATGCTATTAGCAGCTCCCACGGTAACGAGACCATGAAGCTCACCACCAGACAGACCTTCCAGTTCCACGGTGTCATCAAGCGCAACCTTCGTGGCGCTATGCGTGCCATCAACAAGTCTCTCATGACTACCATCGCTGCTTGCGGTGATGTCAACCGTAACGTCATGTGCAGTTCGCTCCCTGAGCTTTCCACTTTCCACCGCGAAGCCCATGCTGTCTCCCAGAGAATCAGCGACCACCTTCTTCCCGCCACCTCTGCTTATCACGAGATCTGGCTCAAGGATGATGATGACAAGAAGGTCCAGGTTGCTGGTGATGCTGTCGTCGACCACGAACCCTTGTACGGTCCTACCTACCTCCCTCGCAAGTTCAAGATCACGATTGCCATTCCTCCCCACAACGACACCGATGTCTACGCCCACGACATTGGTTTGATTGCCATCAAGGGTACTGATGGACACCTGGAGGGTTTCAACATCATTGCTGGTGGTGGTATGGGTACCACTCACAACAACAAGAAGACCTACCCCCAGACTGGACGTATGTTCGGTTACGTCCCTGCCGATCAGGCCCATATTGTCTGTGAGAAGATCATGCTTGTTCAGCGTGACCACGGAGACCGCAAGAACCGCAAGCACGCTCGTCTCAAGTACACCATTGACGACATGGGCGTTGAGGCTTACAAGGAGAAGGTGGAGGCTCTTCTTCCGGAGGGCCTGCGCTTCGCTGAGCCTCGTCCCTTCAAGTTCGACTCCAACGTCGACACCTTCGGCTGGCTCAAGGATGAGAAGGGTCTGAACCACTTCACCTGCTTCATCGAGAACGGTCGTATCGAGGATACCGCCGATTTCAAGATGCGTACCGGTCTGCGCGAGCTCGCCAAGCTTGACAAGGGTGAGTTCCGTCTTACCGGTAACCAGCACGTCATCATCTCCAACATCAAGGATGAGGATCTGCCCGAGGTTAAAGAGTTGATGGCCAAGTACAAGCTTGACAACACTGCCTTCAGCGGCCTCCGTCTGTCTTCGTCTGCTTGTGTTGCCTTCCCCACCTGTGGTCTTGCTATGGCCGAATCTGAGCGCTATCTGCCCGTTCTCATTGGCAAGCTGGAGTCCACTTTGGAGGAGGTTGGTCTCGCTCAGGACAGCATTGTCATGCGCATGACTGGTTGCCCCAACGGTTGTGCCAGACCTTGGCTTGCTGAGGTTGCGTTCGTCGGTAAGGCGTATGGCGCTTACAACATGTACCTGGGTGGTGGCTACCACGGCCAGCGTCTGAATAAGCTGTACCGCTCCTCGATCAAGGAGGACGAGATCCTTGACATCATGAAGGGTCTCCTCAAGCGCTACGCTGCCGAGCGCAACACCGACGGCGAGGTGCCGGAGAGGTTCGGAGATTGGTGTATCCGTGCTGGTGTGATCAAGGCGACGACTGACGGACAGAACTTCCACGAAGGAGTAAGTTGATCTTTGGTTGTTTTATAAGAAGTACTTCACTAACAACATCGTTTCAGGTTGCTGAGGAAGATGAAGAGTAAAATGCTCGTCGATGAGACATAGCGATCAAGATATACTGTTTCGCATTGTTCTCCTTGCATTGTTGAGAAAAATATTTATTTGAACGAACTGTTTATGATCTTGGATGATGATACAGCTGGCTCTTTGTACATACTTTCGATGACTAATTGTTTCTATACAACTATCTTGAGTTTCTTTTTTTTTTCCCTTGCTCCTGTAGCTTCACAAAATTGTAGTCAGCATTGAAGCCGATAGTTAATCACCATGTGATTAATCTCCTAGTTCACTGCCGCAAAACCGGTGGCCGCCGCAGACTAGGTGCTCACTCCGTACCGACCACTCATTCTACAAATGGAAGGCGGTATCAACTGCCCGCCGCGGGGACAGTCTTATCAACCTCCGCCTCCGATAAAAAAAAAGGCGGTTGCGGAAAAAAAAGAGGCACATCACATCAACCTCCCCGCGGTCACTCTCGAAATCAATTATAACACAGCTCTTTAATCACAACTGACAGTTCACCGACCTTTCCTTACCCTTTTCTCTGTTCGAACCGAGAAACCCGGAACAATGACCACGCCCAACAACCAAGACGACGACCCCATCATCGCCTCCTACAACATCTACCTCACGGACTCGGAGATCTCGCGCTACGTTTTGCAATACCTCGACCGCCCGACGGGGTACAGCTACGACGACCGCCACGGCCAGAAACCCACGGGCTTCCGGCTGAAGCCCTCGACGGGCCTCGTCGAGGTCGACGTGCCCATCAATACCCGCGTGAACTACGACGTCAGCAAGGGGTTGCGCTACGGCGATGCGCTGAAGAAATCCCAGCGCGCCAGGGAGGGAGGCGCCTATGGGATGGCTGGGGGGTTTAGTACTGGTGGGAGCAATAGCAGTGGCTCTGGTGCTGGTGGAGGGAAAGTCAAGATGGAAGGTGCTGGTGCTGGTCCGATGCAGATTGATGAGGGGAAGGAGACGGCGCAGTTGTTGAAGGTGCAGACGCTGGGTGGGCGGATTAAGGGGTTTGAGGGCGGGGATCCGGTTTATATGTTGGGGGCTTTTCGGGGGGGTGAGTTTCTTTCCTGGCTGGTTCCATCCGGAGGGTTTGGGGATTTGTGGGGGGGGGGGGGGTCCAAGGATGAGGCTAATTCGCTCTAGAAAATCTTCATTTGTCGCCGGTTACCGCGGTGGTGCAGTTGCATCCCCAATTGCATCATCTCGATGCCTTGGATGAGATTCCGGCCAAGGGGAAGGGCAAGGGTCGCGGCAAGGATGGGGAGGAGGAGCGGGCGGGGGCGGCGGTGGGGGGTGAGAGTGAGGCCCGCGCCATCGATGTCAAGATTAAGGCGGCGGGGGAGGATGGGGAAGCGGCTACGGTTGCGGGCAACCTGGACCTCTTGAAGCAGATGCAGGATGAGAAGTGGAGGGATTATGAGTGGGTGGATGCTGAGGTAAGTTTTCATTCTTGCGTCTCAAGAAGATTCCGTCGGAAAGGGACGAGACAGGACAGCATGCTGATGTTCTTTCTGGTTGAAACAGACCGAGGAATCGTGGCAACTATACGAGAACTACATGATGCATCAGGATGTCGAGACTCTGCCGCAGCTGCAGTCGGCTATCGAGTCCGAGGAGTATCTGGATAAGATGAGCGCGCCCCGGATTGACCCTGCTCGGCCGGAGTTAACGGGTTGGGCGATGAAGCAGAACCGCAAGAAGCAGCGCGAGGAGGCATTGCCCCGGGAGGGTGCTAGTGGGGACGGTGGGCAGCAGTAGGTATAGGTAGGTATAGGCATGTTAGTTCACAAATGGGTTACGACAGGGCAATGACTTGCATATTTTTTGCTAGTATGGAGATATCACTGTAGAGATACGGTGCCTAATTGTTTGAGGAATGATGAGCATCATGTTGTATGGCGAAAATCAGTGACTTGTATACAGTTAAGTGGAGAGGCACACTCATGTGGAGCAATTTCTCTTGCCTCCGCCGAAACTCGAAGAACGTCGACTAGAGACGGTCCTGACCAATCAGCTTCCCGGACAACGAAAATCTTATCGCGCTTCCAGAAGGTCACGTGCCGTCATGTGCGGTGCTATCGCCTCTCCCGGCTCGAAGTTCTGCTGCTGCTAGAAACGATTAGTTATTTTTCCTCCCGTCCTTTTCTCTCCGCCGAGTAGAAAGTAGATTGGTTTTTTTTTACTCCAATTTGCCTTCACGATTGTTATCCTCACTTCCTTCTTCCCCCTTATCTCTCATTTTTTTCTCCTTTACGTCTTCGGAGGGCTGCAGTGCGGCTAACGATTGGATTTGATGAATTGAAGTTTATTGCCTGGCAATAAGCTCGCTCTTGATCACTCCAATTCCCATCCTGCATCATCCTCGTTGACACTGTCTTTCTCGTGCCTTCGCCGTCGCGTTCTGTTTTACCCTCTCCTTCCATAAATAATATCCTATTACCTCACGATTAATCACTGTCGACTTGCATGAGCCTTGTTTTTATATCTTTATCAGCGACATTTCTTCTACCATGTTGTCCCGCGTCGCTCTTCGGAAAAGTGCTTTGGCTCGCGTGCGAGTTACAGGCCGCTCGGCCTTGCCATCACCGGCAACATTGAGGCTTCATTCGCAGTCAACTCGACCAGCCTCTTTCACAAACACTTCGTCTACAACAATCACACAAGACCGTTCTCGCCGACCTTCCCTGACCTCAAACCGAAACCTTGCCACTGCCGCAGACCAGTCCGCGCTCAGTCAGGGGTCAGGCTCATATATCCCTTTCGACACTGCCTCCTCCGAGGAGTCTTCCTTCCCTGGGGACAGCTTCTTTGATCAGAAGCTGTCTCCCTTTTTCAGACCACATCCCCAGGGGCTCGCTAGTTCTTCTCTGATCATCGTGAACGAGGCTGCGCAAACCAGGCCCAAGGTGCAACGGAAAGTGAAGGGCCTGGGCGGTGACGCGGATGAAATGCTTGCCAACCTTGATGTGTCTCTCCGCATTCACCAGTATGAGAGATCTGCTACACTGATCAGTCGCTTAAAGGACTGTTACCCTCCCGGATCACCTGAGTACCTTGCATTGTGCAACCGCCACCTGAACGAGATCGTCTCGCACATGTCCCTGACCCGGCAGCATGAACTGATCCCTGCCTGCCAAAGGTTTTTCGAAGTGGAACTTCGAGCACACGGTCTCGAGCCCAATGCCACAACTTTCGCGGTCATGATCCGGATGGCTCTCCGCATGTTTCACGGCTCCAAGCGCGACAGAACCGTGCGCAGGTACTGGGAATTGGCCAAGAGCAAATCTTTGGAGGAACGAGTTCTTGCGGACTCTATTTTTTCGGAGTCGGATTTGGGCGAGCTGTCGCAGGTCGGTCCCCTCCCTTCATATCAATTTTTCCCCTCACTGCCTCTAGTTCTCGGTATCAGTGAAGACATGCTAATCGTCTTGTTCGTGTAGATCTGTTCTCACGACGTGCAACGTGTGGCCATGGGTAACTTCAACTCGAACACAATCGGCGATGATGCCTCGGTCGCCGAGTCTCAGGATGTGGAGGTCAAGGCTGTCAAACAGAAAGGTCTCGGTCTTTCTTCGCTTCAGGAATCACTCGAAATCTTCTCCGACCCCTCCAGAGTTTCACTGCCCCTTCACGAGGAAGGCACCGTGGAGGACCAGATGCGTCAGCATAAGGAGGCCCGGCAGCGCCAGCTTGAACAAGATGCCATCCAGTCTGCGCTAAACCGTTGGCGCGCCGAGAGTGACACAAGGAGAAAGCGTGGATTTGATGGTGCTGAGAAGCGCTTAGGACCGATCATCGACCAATGGCTCACTGGGCTGGAATTAAAGATCGAAGAAGAGATCAAGTCTTTCAACAAGCTATCTGCCAAGCCTGGGCCGTCTATCAACGCAGCGGAACTTGATTTGTTAGAGTATGGTGTTTATCTAAGTGCTTTGAAGGCGGATCGCATTGCAGCAATCACGATCCTGAGTGTTATATCCACCTTCAGCCGCCTGGGAGTGGACCAAGGGACGAAGTTGGCCGGACTTGCTTACGGTATTGGCTCGGAATTCCACGATGAGATCCTGGCAGAAAGAACTTTACAACAACAAAAGGAGAAGCAGTCTACTCAAGGCCTCAGCAGTGTCAGACAGGCGCTTGCGATTCGCAAGCAGAAGGATGGCCGAGCGCGCTGGTATCACCTTTCGCGCAAGATTGAGGAAGAGGACCCGTCTATCTCTTGGTCGCCTCGAGTGAAAGCCAAGGTCGGCGCCACTTTGTTGGGCTTTCTCTTCGACGCTGCCAAGGCGCCAGTGGAGGTCATCAATCCTGAGACCCAGAAGAAGGAAATCGCCATGCAACCTGCATTCCAACATAATTACCAGATCACTTGGGGCAAACGCGCTGGCTATATCCATCTACATCCGTCCGTCGTCGATATCTTGCTCAGGGAGCCTCCCGCCGACATCCTGAGCCGCCACCTGCCGATGGTTTGCGAGCCCAAGCCTTGGAAGGGCTTGGGTGATGGCGCCTATTATGTGTACAAGAGTGAGCTAATTCGTTCGACACCGGGCGAGAGTCTTCAACAGGCCTATGTAAAAGCTGCCATCAAGAGCAACGGGCTTGACAAGATTCGGCAAAGTCTAGATATCCTCGGGTCTACAGGCTGGGTTATCAACCGGGAAGTTTTTGATGTCATGCTTGAAGCGTGGAACTCCGGCGAAGCCCTAGCGAATCTCGCTGCCTTGGAACCAAAATTGACCCCTCCCGAAAGGCCGTCTGCGGAAGAAGGTTATGAGGCTGAAAAGAAGTGGGATCGGCTTGTCCAACTCATGGAGAATCGCAAATCCGGTATCCATTCTCAGCGTTGCTTCCAGAACTTCCAGATGGAAATCGCCCGCGCTTATCTCGACGAAACATTCTACCTCCCTCACAATATCGATTTCCGTGGCCGTGCATACCCTCTGCCGCCTTACCTCAACCAGATGGGCGCCGACAATGCCAGAGGCTTGCTGCTCTTCAGTGAAGCTAAGCCGCTCGGCCCGCAGGGTCTCAGATGGTTGAAGATTCAGATTGCCAATCTGTCAGGATTCGACAAGGCCAGCCTTCCTGAGCGCGAACAGTTCACAATGGACCATCTGGACGATGTACTGGACTCTGCTAACAATGGCCTCAAAGGCCGGCGTTGGTGGCTCAAGGCAGAAGACCCTTGGCAGTGCCTGGCTGCCTGCTGCGAGTTGAGGAATGCGCTCAAGCTTTCAGACCCTACTCAATACTTGTCGCGTTTGCCCATTCATCAGGATGGATCTTGCAACGGACTGCAGCACTATGCTGCGCTGGGTGGTGATAAGGTCGGCGCTCAGCAAGTCAACCTCGAGCCTTCCGATCGTCCATCCGACGTCTACAGTGGTGTGGCGGAGTTTGTCAAGAAAACCGTCGCCCAGGAAGCCGCCGACGGCAACCCTGTCGCCAAATACCTCGAAGGACGGATCACCCGCAAGATCGTGAAACAAACGGTCATGACCAACGTCTATGGTGTCACCTTCATGGGTGCTATGAAACAAGTTCGAAAGCAGCTTGTCGACCACTATCCGGATCTTACTCCTGAGCAGAGAGTTGAAGGTGCTTTGTATATCGCGCGCAAGATTTTCGAAGCTTTGGGCTCAATGTTCAACGGTGCCCACGAGATTCAATACTGGTTGGGAGATTGTGCCAGTCGTATCACTCGGTCCATGTCGCCGTCTCAGATCGAAGAACTTATGCAGGAAGCCATGGGGTCGGCGAGTGCCGCCAACATGGATCCGGCTAAGAAGTTCCGAACCACGGTCATTTGGACAACTCCTCTGGGATTACCCGTGGTCCAGCCTTACCGAGTCCGCTCGTCACGACGTATCGCGACTAGTCTGCAGAGTTTGAGCATTATTGATACCAACGCGGATGATACTGTCTCGGCCCGCAAGCAGCTTCAAGCTTTCCCTCCCAACTTCATTCACTCCCTTGACGCCACACACATGATGCTATCGGCCATTGCGTGCCACAAGGCGGGTCTATGCTTTTCAGCCGTCCATGATTCCTTCTGGACGCACGCCTGCGACGTTGACCAGATGAACGAGCTCCTTCGGGAGGCGTTTGTGCGCATGCATTCTGACGACGTCGTTAAGAGACTGGACGCTGAGTTCAAGGTCCGTTACGGGGACAACCTCTTCCTTGCCAAGGTGCGTAGCCGCAGTCGGATTGGCAAAGCCATCAACGAGTTGCGCAAGAGTAAGAAAGAAAAAGGAAAGAACTCGAAGATGCTCGAGCTGTTCGATGAATACAAGCGACAGAAATTCTTGAAGTCCGACGATCCGGAGTTGCAGGCCCAGGGCCGGGCGATGGTGACCCCCGCCAGCATTTTTGAATCGCTTGGCGAAGACAAGGATCTGTCTATCTCCACCTCGCTGGGTGCGACGGCTGTTGGTCACATTCCCGAAAATGCCGATATCACCAGTCGAGGCCCTGATCCTCTGGAATTCGACGAGTCGGATCCCGCCATCGAGTCCCTATTAGGCACGATCGAGACCGATCCGGAGGCGCTTGTCACGGAGCTATCACCTGAGGAGGAAAGGCCCAAGATGAAGCGCAACAAGCTCACCCAAGTCTCGTACGCGCACTTCTGGCTTCCTATGCAATTCCGCGAGGTCCCAACGAAGGGTAGCTGGGATGTCAGCCGTATCCGAGACAGCCAGTACTTCTTCTGTTGAAGGGTGCATTATATGGAAACTTCTCTCTCTGAGGGTGACTTCTTCTTTCTACGAATCTTCTGGTCTATTTCTGGTTTACTGATATCCCTTGTATGATTTGTGTTTTGTTTTGACTCTCTGTACCAACACGTGGGGTGTTCCTGCATGGAGTTTCGGAGGCGCGTGGTTGCTTCCATACTGTATAGTTAGCACGGACATTGTTTCGGATCTCCTGTGTCCTAGAAAAGCGATGACTACAATTTCAATGTATATACACCTATTATGAATAACTTCCTTTCACTTTCACTGCTCTTTCCGATCGCTAACAGATGCCACAGTAGTCTATCAGGCATCTATACCTTGATGCCTCAGGCATGGAGCAGGGTTCTCTTGATACAGGCAAGTAGTTACTCAAGCAAGTTCGGATAGACCGCAGCTACAGTTGCCCGCCAAACCTCCAGGTACTTTACTCCCCTGTAGTAGAATTGACACTTGGCTTCCATCATGTTTGTGTATTTAAAAGATAAAGTGAACCTATATCACTAGTGTTACCAAGTTATTCAAATCTCAAAGGTCCAATCACTCTTCTACATATATGGTAGGTCATGTGCAGTACAAGGCAAGAATCCGGGGTAAAACATCATCAATAGTGGAATCACCCAATAGTAATAAATTCTACACACTTTGTCTTCCTTCTGCTTTCCTCCTTCTATCAATCTGAACTTTCTACTGGCCTACGGATGAATATTTTTACGGTCCTTCTGATGACCCTTACTTAGCCTCTGCAGTGATTTTTGTTTCCTTTTCTTTTTTCTTTTTTTCTCAGTCCAGAATGGTGGAGTCAAGTCAATGAATCGGCTGTGTTTGTCCAACGCACAGATCCTCCACCAGTTCCTTTGGGGACACGGAGGAAGAGGTCCGAGATGAATCGGGCATTGGGAGTTTGTTTGCAGTAACCAATCTCGTACCGGGTGTGAGCGCCATCCATTTCCTTTCCTCTCCTTCTTGTCAGTAACTGTCTGACCCTCTGCAGGGTGCAGATCCGGAGTCACGGACCCGTCAGTATGATCTAGTTAGATTGCTGGCTACTGTTTCTTCCCCCGCCTTTTCTTCCCCGCCCCCTCTTCCAACCACCACCAGCACGACCACCACGACAACAACCTGATCTGATCTGACCACCCATTAGCTAGTAGCCCATCCCAGTCGGGTCACCATTCAAATTAAAATCCCCCCACCCGCCACTAAAATGATGAGCTCGATATTACCATATGCCCATAGCCGAGCCTGACTGACCACATCGACTGCTAGCAGATGAAAGAAGAAATTCCAATGACTGGGGATGCCAGCAGCAGTAAGAGGAACACGAGAGCCTAGCCTATCGAGCTACCGGCCCTGATGAACTCGATTTAACTGATAGTGTTGCTGATGCTGGTGCTGATGCTTCTCGCATACCGCGTGAACGGTTCTTTCTCGGTGACTAGGACCATGCTGAAGGAATCAGAAGAGGAACCTCGGATGGTCTTCTAGACATCCCTAGTAATCTAACTAACTACTTGTACCTACAGTACTGTCTGTCAGGATGTAGTCTCTGTTCTGTGGCGAAATTGCCTAGGCCAACCTGTTACCTTTAGGGTCTCGGTCTCGCCCATTTGTTCCTACTCCAGGTTAGTCCCGCCCGCGTTCCCCGTCCCCGCATTTCCCTGAAGTCCCTTTTCCACTGCAATCAATCATTTCCACTTTCCCTTTCCTTCTCCGTCCTCCGTCCCGATCTTTCGAATTCCAAACGTTCTCAATTTCCCTTGCCCACCCTTCACCCTTACTCCGTCGACCCGTACCTGGCCTGTTGGTTCAGTTGTTCGAGTTCCTTCCCTCTCTTGCTCTCACTCTTCCTTTCCACACACTACTCTCTAACCCCACCGGCATGCTCAGTTACTCATCCACCCACCACTCATCTCATCAGCCCATCTTTTTCTTTTTGCTTCATTCTACCACCCCAAGTTTCTGAACTGAACAGCTGCGAGGTCCTAAATTAAATCCGTGCTTACTAGCCCATCACCTTCTCCCCACCCCCTTCAACTGTTGGGGCCTCACGGCCCTCTACCCCAACCGCCGTCTGTCGCCCGCAGCCCGCTCCGTTCTCATGCCTCGGGCGCTTGTGCGCTTTGCTCGGTGAGGATGTCGACCACCGCCATTCAGCAGTACGCCAGCTCATTTGTTCCTTCTACCTCAGCTTCACAGTCGGGAGGCATGGCCCAATCGCAGACCGTCGGGCTGGACACCCTCGCCGAGGGTTCGCAGTATGTCCTCGATCAATTGCAGTTATCGCGCGAGGCCGCGGCCAAAACCGTCAGCGATGATACGCACTCGGACTCGCTGAGAAGCTCGCTGCCCACATCCAAAGACCAACCTTTCTATCGCGACGACAATAACTCAGTCGCTGGCTCCAGGTACCAACCGCCGTTACAGCGAGATCCCCTCGTGGAGGCACGTTCTGCGATCCGCAAAAATTCCGTGTCGGCTCCCGTCCGGCGCAGAATCAGTCGAGCGTGCGACCAGTGTAATTCGCTCCGGACTAAATGCGATGGACATCAACCATGTGCACATTGCATCGGTAAGCTCTTCTGTCTTCTTAGATTAATTCCTCCCCGCTCCAAGTCCCCCGGTGAGTCAGCAGGCTGACTGACGGCGGCGCAGAATTCGGGTTGACCTGTGAGTACGCTCGGGAACGTAAGAAACGAGGGAAGGCTTCGAAGAAAGACCTGGCAGCTGCGGCTGCAGCTACCCAGCTGGGCAACGGTCAATCAGCCCAAGAAAATGGCGCACTAGTGGGGGAGCATACGCCCCCGGATCGGCGACGATCGTCTCAGGAGGTCAACGGGCGATTTGACGGGGGCTTTGACACAGCTCAACATCTCAATCCTTCGTCACGACAGGTGCGGGATCCCAATGCTCCTCCGAGTATGTCTACGGTTGAAGATGCGCACTCAGCTCCGCCGCATTCGCAGCCATCCTTGAGGGCCGCCATCGATGCCATGCACATGAACCATTTCAATTCGTTAAACAACGAGTCGAATCGTGCTCCAATGCCTGTCGCCGATCTTCGCGCCTTGCCGACCTCAATCCTATCGTCGCATGGGTTAAGTTCGGGGTTTGGTGAAAACGCGTTTGCGATGGTGAACTCTCAGGAACCTAATGCTTCCGCTTTGAACCATTTTCGAATTGGAAATTCGGCCGAGAACCCCACGGCTCCGTTCTTGGGACTATCGCCTCCTGCACAGTCTCCAGGCTGGCTGCCTCTGCCCTCACCATCTCCCGCCAACTTCCCTTCCTTTAGTCTGCCGTCATATTCGAGTACGCTACGATACCCTGTGTTGCAGCCCGTGCTGCCTCATATCGCGTCCATCATTCCACAATCCCTTGCCTGTGATCTCCTTGATGTCTACTTTACCAGCTCATCCTCTTCACACCTTTCGCCATTATCTCCTTATGTGGTGGGATACATCTTCCGGAAGCAGTCCTTCCTCCATCCCACAAAGCCACGAGTGTGTAGTCCTGGTTTGCTGGCCAGTATGCTCTGGGTTGCGGCGCAGACGAGTGAGGCTGCGTTCCTGACATCTCCGCCCTCTGCTCGAGGGCGTGTCTGCCAGAAATTACTGGAACTGACCACTGGTTTACTCCGCCCCCTGATTCATGGACCGGCAACGGGGGAAACATCGCCCAACTACGCAGCTAATATGGTCATCAATGGTGTCGCCCTAGGTGGATTCGGCGTCTCGATGGATCAGCTAGGTGCGCAGAGTAGCGCAACCGGTGCCGTGGATGATGTGGCTACATATGTGCATCTAGCCACGGTCGTTTCAGCAAGTGAGTACAAGGCCGCCAGTATGCGTTGGTGGACGGCAGCATGGTCTTTGGCGCGCGAGTTGAAGCTGGGTCGTGAGCTGCCGCCCAACACTTCCCATACCCGACCAGACGGCGAGCGCGAGGGCGACACCGAAGGGGATCCTTCGAAACGACACTCTACGTCGTTAATGGCCTCCATGGGACTTGGACCCGGCAGTACAAATATTAATGTGACAGAAGAGGAACGCGAGGAGCGCCGGCGCCTGTGGTGGCTACTGTACGCGACGGACCGTCATCTGGCTCTCTGCTACAACCGGCCCTTAACGCTGCTCGATAAAGAGTGCGGGCGTCTATTGCAACCCATGAATGACGACCTTTGGCAAGCGGGCGATTTCTCTACCGCCAGCTATCGCCAGGTTGGCCCTCCCCTCGAGTGCACCGGCCACAGCATGTTCGGGTATTTCTTGCCGCTGATGACTATCCTTGGTGAAATCGTTGACCTCCATCATGCCCGAAGCCATCCACGTTTCGGTATTGCGTTCCGAAATAGCACTGAGTGGGAGCACCAGGTGCTGGAGATTACCCACCAATTAGACACCTACGCGCAAAGTTTGAAAGAGTTTGAGGCGCGCTACACCAATAGCTTGGCCCTAGCAAACGCGGAGAATGAGCAGATCGGAGAGGGCGCCCATTTGGATCATGTCAGTCCGTCGGGTCGTTCCAGCAGTACGGTCGGATCCCGGGTGAACGAGTCCATTGTGCACACGAAGATGGTTGTCGCGTATGGTACCCACATCATGCATGTTTTGCACATTCTTTTGGCGGGCAAGTGGGATCCGGTCAACCTGTTGGAGGATCACGATCTGTGGATCTCCACGGAAGCTTTCGTCTCTGCGATGAGCCATGCCGTTGGCGCCGCCGAAGCGGCGGCCGAGATTCTGGAATTCGATCCGGATCTCAGCTTCATGCCCTTCTTTTTCGGAATTTATTTGCTGCAGGGTAGCTTTCTGCTACTCCTGGCCGCCGACAAGCTGCAAGGTGATGCCAGTCCGAGTGTTGTCCGGGCTTGCGAGACGATTGTTCGTGCCCACGAGGCTTGCGTTGTCACCTTGAATACTGAGTATCAGGTATGTATTGCTACGACCCTACCCTCCATATCTTCTAAACTAACTCCTCTACTTTCAGCGAACATTCCGCAAGGTCATGCGCTCGGCTCTGGCGCAGGTGCGAGGTCGTATCCCCGAGGACTTTGGTGAACAGCAACAGCGTCGCCGGGAGGTGTTGGCGCTGTACAGGTGGAGCGGTGATGGCAGTGGTCTTGCCCTTTGATGATGGGCTGGTGTCGCATTGATTCTTATTGCATATTGCCGTATATTCTCACTATACCCATGCAAGCGATTGACGTGATGTGATGTGAATTCATCCGCGATTTGTGGGATGATTTCGAGGAGTTTGGGAAGGGGAGCAAATTATCCTTGGGTGCGGTTTGATATCCCTGAGTTCTTGTTTCTGTGGTAAATACTTCTTTTCCGTGGTGTGGTGTCCGTGGCTGGCTTTGTGTACAGTACATGGTGTCAGAGCCTTGCGGTGGATATAGCCATTGTTTTGTCAAATATAATCCGTATATAACTATTGATGCTGATCTGCTGTTGTTGACATAGGAGGTTGAACCGAGGTGGGTAGGGAAGGGGTCCACCCTTGTATAGTAATCATCATTTATTGATATACGAATATAGTACGAGTGTGTAATTCAGGGCTCGGTTATGTGTAAGGACTTGGGCAACGTCTCAGGTATGATTATACGTCAATACGAGTCGGTATTCAGCCTCGGAGTCAAATTCGGGGTATATTTATTTTGTTATCAGAAGTGGGGTCTGTCTCACTGTGAATTGTGGACGTCACTTGACTGACAGCCGCGGAGGTTAAATACGGAATTTAGAGAGCTCCTCTCCTTCAGACCTCCGCCTCCGCCTCACCGAGCTTCCCCTGCTTCCCTTCAAGCTCCCACAGGCCCACGGAAACCTCATGCTTCTTCGACAATGAAACCAGTCATCGCTGTTCCTGCTATTGCAGGTCTTCTCTATCGTGCCTGGTCACACAAGACCCTCACCACCCTGGGTTTGGTCGCCGCCGGGCTGACCGCTTCAGCTCACGCCCTCCACCCATGGTCGACCCCGTTTATCCTGCTGGCCGTATTCTACCTCGGAGGTAGCCGAGTGACCAAGGTGATTTTCTCTTGGATACTATCCATTGAGGCTCTGCTAATGGATCTGATGGGTATAGGTCAAACACGAGATCAAATCCCGCTTGACCCTCTCCGCGACCGGCTCTGAGGGCGGCGAAGGCCCTCGCACCCACGTCCAAGTCCTCGCCAACTCCATCGTCGCCTCGGTGCTCATCCTCGCCCACACCTACGTCCTTGCGAAGCGGTCCGCCGCTGGATCCAATGCCGCTCAATGTTTCTCGAACGGTCACGATGTAGCGGACCTGCTGGTGGTTGGGATTGTCGCGTAGGAACCCTCCCCTTACCCAGATCAAAGATCCCCCCCCGGCCCCAGAAGCCGCAGGGCCTCATACCTCCAGAAGCTTATCGCTAACGATGCCGTGGCGTTGTACATACAGGAACTACGCCGCCGTCGCCGCCGACACCTTCTCGTCCGAACTGGGGATCCTCTCCACCTCGAAACCGCGCCTGATCACCTCGCCCACCTTCCGCGTCGTCCCCCCCGGCACGAACGGCGGCGTCACCGGCACCGGCCTCCTGGCCGGCATGTTCGGCGCCTTCACCATCGCGCTGTCGTCGGCGGCGTTCTTGCCGTTCTGCGGTGCCCCCCAGGGCGGCAGTACTTTGGGTTTGTTGACGAGTCGCGCGGGGTGGGTTGCGGCTGTCACCGCCTGGGGAACCCTGGGCAGCGTGCTGGACAGTGTCCTTGGTGGCTTGTTCCAGGCGAGTGTGGTGGATAAGCGGACGGGGAAGATCGTGGAGGGGTCCGGCGGGAAAAAGGTCCTCGTTCATCCTTCTTCGACCAAGGCGGGTGTCTCAGCCAACGCTGCGGGGCTTACGCCGGCGCGTGGGGTCAGCAGTAGCAGTAGTGCGACGCAGCAGCTGCGGGCGACTGAGGATGTTGCTAATGCGGCGACGGCTCCGGCGATGTTTAGGGGGAGGCGGGGGGAGGTTGGTTCTTCTTCTTCTTTGGTGGGAGAGACAACAACGACAACGACAACGGATGACGGGCATGAGAGTCGGCGGGTGGAGAGCGGGCATGATATTTTGGATAATAATGCGGTGAATGTGTTGATGGCGGTGGTTATGAGTGTTGGGGCGATGGGGGTGGCGGGGTGGGTTTGGGGGGTGGATGGTGCGGATTTGGTGTGGTAGTTTCTTTTTGGAGAGGGAAGGGGCTAGGCTAATGTGATATGGTAATTTATGGATGCATCTTATGTTGTGTCTGGTGAAATGGGCCTTTGCTGATTTGGTTGCAGTAGATATCTCTCTCGGTTGGCTTGTTGGATTAATGATGATATCAAGCAAGGTCTTAAGTCAGTGGGTTAATCCCCAACTTGGATCACACCTTCTAAAATAACTTCTTTTCGAGCACTAACGGAAGAAGAAGGAGCCTATTTCTACATTAGGGTGCAAGTATTGATCTTCTTCTCTGCCGCCCACGCAGCCCATGCTGCCCGATTCTTCCGTTTGATCGCCTCGCGGTATTTCTGTCCCTCCCGGTCCAGGTAACTCATGGTGACGCCCTTGTCCTGCACGTACTCGTTGAATACCTTCCAGCTCTCCTCCGACATCAGGATCTCGTTGCGCTGCTCGGGGAAGATGTTGGTCGGTCGGGTCCGTGGCGCCATGCCCTGCGGATACATCTCGAACGTGAAATGTTTCTGGCTGCGGTGCAGCTGGAGTCCGTCCGGGTCGGACTCCCCTGCTACGAATGGCAGGCGGGACTTGGGAGTTAGAATTCTTCGCCGACCGTCATCGTGGTTCTTATCCGGGGTGGCTTTACTGGATGGTCGCCGGTCCTCCTTTTCTTTTCCCCATGTGTGCGGGGGGAAGTGGAAGTCTGCGGATACAGGGCTAGCATTCTCTGGCGAGTACCCGTACAAGCCTTGAGCTCGGTCTGGATCCTGCTCCGATTTCTCGGTTTGCTGCTGTTCTTCATCGGTTTCATAAGGCATAGCTTCACTGGGTGGTTCCTCCCCATCGTTCCCCCATGCGTGCTCTGTGTCATGAAGGTGGGGGAAGTGGAAGCTCGCAGAAACAGGGCTAGTCGACTGCGGCGAGTAGCCATACAAGTTCTGAGCACGATCTCGGTCCTGCTCCAATTCCCCTATCTGCTGCCGTTCTTCCTCGGTCAACCCGGGTCTGGAAACCCGCAAGTACCGCTTGATGGTCTCACCCTCCGGCGCGTCCAGGATCCCCTCCTGACACGCCTGGAAGCACTGTTGCGCCTCCTGGTAGTTCTCGCGAAAGTACTCCACCCGACCCTGCCAGTACTGGCACCGCGCCAGGCACATCGGGTCGCCGAGCCGGTTGGCGATGCCAAAGGCCTCGAGGACGAAGTGCTCGGCCTCGCGGTCCTGGCCCTCCTCGAGGAAGGTAATCGCCCGGTGCAGGGCCAGGGTGACCTCCCACCGATCCAGCTTCTCGTCGAGCCCGGTCAGCAGCGGCTCGGTCGGGGATTCCGCGCGTCTCCGTTGGTGTTCCTCCAGCGCCGCTCGCGCCTCGGCTTTCTTCCTGCGACGCGCCGCCTTTCGCGCCGCCGCCTTCTCTCGGGTCTCCATCTGCGTCGGCGACGGGGTCGACTGGCGGTCCAGGAACTCCGTCCCCACGTACCAGTAGTCCTCGTCCGGGTCGTACTCCTTCCAGGAGGTGTCGCCCTCGTCCAACGGCGGCAGCGACTCCGGGTTGTATTCCGAGGCGAGGTCGGAGTCGTTGCCGGGGTCCTCGTCTGAGAAGTCCTTGAATTGATACTCGTCGGAGTCATCGTTCCGCTTGCGGTCCGCTTCGTCCTCGGAGGAGGATTCGCCGAAGAAGTGGCGCTTGATGGGTGGTAAGGGGTTCATTTTCTTTTCCCGTTGTTGGGTATATGCGTAGCCAAAGGTGTTGGAGTTTGTTTGGTTTTGAGGTCGTTGAAGATTCTAAGGGGCTTATATATTCATATGTGCGGGTGTGCCCTTGGGCTTGATGGTGAATGGGCTCTTTCATGGTGCTCGCTGGAGGACAAAGCGCCGTGGGACAAAGAAATTGTGTCTCTGTTTGATGTGGCGTGTCCCCAAGCCATTCTGCGGTTTCCCGAGACATCAAGGCGAAGTGTCTCCATCGTAACAGTGTACTCGGGACTCCAGAGGGATTTGATGGAGCGAGCTGAAATGACCTGGGTCATGATAATCATCCTAGCAGCTGCAGCGCAGCAAGGATCTGGGTAGCCCTAATCTTATCACATCTGTTCAGCTTTCCTGGTCCTGTCATCATTTGGTACGGTAGATCTGTGGTGATCATCTGACAGTGCAACCACAGGCAGGCACCGAGTCGCTGGACTTGGCGCATCTGGCGGACCATTTTCCTGCTTTTTGTTTCTGGAGGCTTCGAGCAACACGAATGGATTATGAATCAGGGAAGCCTTGCTGTGAGTCAGATTGGATCATAGCTTTGGTAAGCAGAGACATGGATCATCTGAGTTAGTGCAACAAGAGCAACAATGAAAAAAGTGCCGAATGAGAATACTCATAGAGCAGTATCTCCGTGAGCTGAAGACAAAACATTCAAACGCAGCAAACAGGTGGAGCTCTCCACCCCGGAGTGGGGCCGATACGACCCTGGCAGCCTGGCTAAACAGTGCAACAGTGCAACAGTGCAAACAACACAAAGCACAGAGCTTTGCAAACAACAACGTCATGACCCTCCCATGCACTCCTCGATCCATCCACTCAATCCATCTCTTTCCCTCCCTCCATATCTCTCTCTCTCTCTCTCTCTCTCGTTCTCGCCCAACTTTATTGTCAGATTGTCAAACTCGTTGGGAAATCGCACCCGTATGCCTGCGTCACTTCCGCTTTTCCCACAGCTCCATTGGATCGTTCCACCACTCAGCGGGGGAGTTCGGGGGACAAGAACAAAATCATGATGAATGGACCGACCTCCAAGGAATCCCCTTCCTTGCGTGGTGGGGTATCGTTCCATGTAAAAATAACCCCATCGACTTCCCCTCCTTTCAGCCGTGGTCTGTCTACCCTCGAGCAATAGTTGCGAGTCTCATCATCCATGGCTGACCGATAAGATCCATGCCCCGGTGGGCTGTTTGCATTCGACTCCTCGGTTTCCACAAAGGTTCAGGGACATGCTACTCATACAAGGCACCCTCCCCCCTCTCTTTCCCCCCACCAGCAGAAGGCCACTACTTATGCAGCTGGTCTTGCCTTTCCTGTTTATGTACACCTCGCTCAGATCTTCTCGGTGCTGCAAGGGCCGACTGACTTGACTGACTGACTTGCATTTCACCCCTCCTCCTCATCCTTATTTTACCCCTCTTTCCTCCATACATACTCCCCTTCGCACCCGACGTGCATACGCATTTATACAGCAACATTCTTAGGCGCACACACTACATTGCCTTCTCTTTGTTTCTTTCTCCTTACCTCTTTCTCTGTCTCTTATCTTTCTCTCACAGACCTAATATAGAGTGCGCCTTTGGGCTAGTCCCAAAATTTCCGTGTTTGAAAGTGATATTACTTATTATCCTCCTGAACTTTCCTTCTTCCCCCTTCCAAAGGACCTCGGTATATTATAAAATAGACTTCAAGCCACACTGACCTGCAACCATGTCTCCGTTAACTTGTCCCACCAAGAGTGTCGACATTGTGGCCATCCACCAAAATGCACTGGAGTTCTCCCTGGTGAACGAGATCCAGCGAGGAATCTCTCCTCCGGCTGGCACTCCTCGCTCAATGCCCACCATGCTACTGTATAATGACCAGGGCCTGAAGCTCTTCGAGGAGATTACTTATCTCGAGGAGTACTATTTAACCAACGCGGAGATTGAGGTGCTGCGCACGCACGCCAAGCGGATCGTGGAGCGCATTCCGGACAATGCGCAGTTACTAGAGCTAGGAAGCGGGTACGTGCTGCTTTCCATCTTTTTTTCTGGAATCCGGACAACGGAAGCTAAAATGAAATTGAACTGTATAGAAACCTCCGGAAAGTTGAGATTCTGCTCCGCGAGTTCGAGTCGGCCGGCAAGCACGTCGATTACTACGCCCTCGATCTGTCCCTGCCCGAGCTTCAACGCACCTTTTCCGAGATTTCGATCGACGACTTCACGCACGTCGAGTTCCACGGCCTGCATGGCACGTACGACGACGCTATGGCTTGGCTGGATATGCCCGAGAACCGGAAGCTGCCGACGGTGATTATGTCCATGGGGTCGTCGATTGGCAACTTTGACCGGCCGTCCGCGGCGAGCTTCCTGGGGCAATTCGCTCGGCTCCTGGGCCCTGACGATCTGATGATTATTGGCCTGGACGCTTGTAGTGATCCGGACAAGGTGTTCCGGGCTTATAATGACTCCAAGGGCATTACGCGGCAATTCTACGAGAACGGACTGGTTCATGCCAATGCCGTGCTGGGGTATGAGGCGTTCAAGCTGGAGGACTGGGACGTTATTACGGACTATAATGTTGCTGAAGGGACACATCGGGCGTTCTACGCGCCGAAGCATGACGTGACCATCAATGGAACGGTGATCAAGCAGGGCGAGAAGCTGATCTTTGAAGAGGCATACAAGTATAGTGCTACGCAGCGGGAGCAGTTGTGGCATGATGCTGGGTTGATCCATAAGGTGGAGTATGAGAATGAGGCCGGGGAGTATCGTACGTTCTTCCCTCACCAACTTCCTGTTCATTCCATGCGCGGAGCGCTCTGGAGTCTGCATGGTGTGTTGTCTGAAGCTAACTCGGGTGTCCTACAGATCTTCATATCCTGTCCTCAGCAGTTTTGAATTATCCGACGAAACCTTCACAGTATGCGGCAGGTGCCGTCCCGACATATGAAGAGTTTCGCAAGCTTTGGACGGCGTGGGACATTGTCACTAGATCGATGGTGCCTCGCGAGAAGCTGCTTTCTAAGCCGATCAAACTGCGTAATGCCTTGATTTTCTACTTTGGGCACATTCCTACATTTTTAGGTAAAGTGCTTGGCTACTGGGTTGACTTCGATTTTGCTAAGCCTAGACAGATATCCATCTCACTCGAGCACTGGGCGATGAGCCGACTTATCCCAAGTCATACCAGCTGATTTTCGAACGTGGCATTGACCCCGATGTGGACAACCCTGAACACTGCCATTCGCACAGCGAAGTTCCAGATGAATGGCCACCGCTCGACGAGATTTTGGATTACCAAGAACGGGTTCGCAGTCGCGTTCGGTCCATCTACCAGAAGAACGACCTGGTCCAGGATCGGACGCTGGGCGAAGCTCTTTGGATCGGCTTCGAGCATGAAGCCATGCACCTCGAGACCTTTCTCTACATGCTCATTCAGAGTGAGCGGATAAACCCCCCTCCTGCGGTCCCCAAGCCGGACTTTGAAAGAATATTCCGAGACGCCCGAGAGCGCGAGAGGTCGAACGACTGGTTCACCATTCCAGAACAGACCCTATCCATAGGACTTGACGATGACGGGAAATCGGTGCCTAGTGCGTCCTACGCATGGGACAACGAGAAGCCGGCGAGGGTCATTTCCGTCCAGGCATTCCAGGCACAGGGTCGACCCATCACGAATGGGGAATATGCCAGATACCTTCAAGCGAATAGCTTGGGCCAAAAACCAGAGTCGTGGATTTGGACCCACCCCAAGGGGTCGTCTGGCGTTGTGCATGGTGGACAGAGTAATGGCCACGCTACGAAGGAGTACCTGGCGGGCTTTGCTGTTCGTACGGTGTTTGGGCCGGTGCCGTTGGAGTATGCGCAGGATTGGCCGGTCATTGCGTCTTATGATGAGCTGGCACAATATGCGCAATGGATGGGTTGTCGAATTCCAAGCTTCGAGGAAGTGAAGAGTATCTATGCTCATGCAGCTCGGTTGAATGGCGCCAAGCAGGATTTGCCCAATGGATATCGGTCGGTCACCTGGTTCTTTGTTCTTTCAAGTCAGCAAGACTAATGATCAATAGCCATCGCGAGACAAGCGGTGTTAATGGACACGGAAACGGTGTTCTTTCCACCAAGTTGACTGCTCCTGCGAAGCCTTCGCATGATTCCCAGCCGATGTTTGTGGACCTCGACGACTGCAACGTCGGATTCAAGCACTGGCACCCCAGCCCCGTCATCCAGCACGGCAATCGACTTGCCGGGCACGGTGAGTTGGGCGGAGTATGGGAATGGACGAGCTCGACTTTGGAGCGACATGAAGGGTTCGAGGCTATGGAGATCTATCCAGGGTATACCTGTACGTTTTACCTCAAGAGTATCATTTAACCTGTTGAGACGATTGCTAATGTGACCTGAAAGCCGACTTCTTCGATGGAAAGCACAATATCATTCTTGGCGGGTCCTGGGCCACTCACCCCAGGATTGCGGGGCGGACGACATTGTAAGTTGTTTTCTTTCTGGCCGTGTACATTGCTAACATTGGGATAAGTGTCAACTGGTATCAGCGGAATTATCCTTATCCTTGGGCGGGGGCACGGTTGGTGCGGGATTTTCGATGATGAGAGGGACAGTACTTACAGCACAGGGGGTTGGTGCGTCTGTATGGACTGGTATGGTCAGTTTTGTATTAAGATAGTAACTTTGAGTGTTAAGGAAGTAGTAGTATGAGTTCCGACGATGCTTCTTAAAGTGCGTGTCTGTCTACCTTAGCCGAGTTTCTGGGAACTGCGGGCATAGTAACATCTAAGGGTATCACGGGTATCGAGACTGTGGTAGAGGGTATTGATGGAGATTAAGTAGCGTAGTGATGCACTGAGTACTACCGAGAACTAACTTACTCTACTTTGCATACTTTCACTCGTTTAGGACCAGAATTCATCATGATGAAGACATTCCCAGAAAGAGATGCATTCAGGAGGGTATTGCAATTGTGCTGTAGATCGGATCCAGATATTGAAGTACTGTACCTAGTACTTGATCCAACTCATAAGATAGTCAGCGCGGTGCAGACCAACCGATTCCTCCCCGGGGAGCCGAGTTTCCAACACAATGAGAATGTCTTTCAGGAGGTAAACAGACAGCCTATGACAATAATTGATCCATTACTTTAGATTCCATGTGTCGAAAGTCATGTTTCCTATATTGTGGGCCTTTCCAGTCTTTTTTAAATATAGGATGTTCCTGGCAAGGTTGTTTGATGCAGCTAGCATGGTCGGTGATGTGGGAGTAGGAGCAGTGGCAGTGGCAATGCTTGGAGGATTAGAAGTGGTGGTGATGGTGGTGGTGGAGAGCTGCGGGGGGGAGTTATATGGCTCTAAGTACAGAGTACAGGTACAGTATAAACTATATGAGAGATGATGGGATAGTAGAAGGAGTGTGATGGAGTCTACAGAGTACCTAGTCTAGATGCTTTTGCTTGGATGCTCATACTGCTCTCTCTGTGTTCAGATGGGAAGAGTATCAAGCGGGATAGCACTGGGTTATATCATAAGGTTCGTTGGTAGTAGGTAGTCCTTCCCCGTTACAATCAGTTGAATCTCGCCGTTTACTTATGTAACTCATCTAATTCCTGAAAGGGGAAGGGAAGGAGGGGATGGATATCATACCTGCCAGACTTTTAGGTTTCTGTGTTATGTTGAAGAATGCTCATGTGAAGGGACTCCGTAGGCCTGTTATGAATGCTACGGGTCTTTGGAGTCTTTGGTCCGGAGGGTAGACTTAGTAGACCGCCGGGTGAGCGGTACCTGATCGACGCGGGTTCCGGTTTCTCTCCACTGTAAATGGAGACTTTGCGGGTTGAGATGAGGTGATTGGTCTCTTTTTGGGGGGGGAGGGGGCTTGGTTGTATGCAAGGAGGGAATATGGGGGGAAGGGGGACGGAAGGGAAGGGACGATACTACTCGTATCTGTATGTAGGTACTTGGGGGGAAGGGGAGTGAAGAATGATGGCGGATGGGGAATTTAGGTTAAGTCATGGGTAGGGTAGGCAGGTAGTTGGGTGGGTTGGTTTAGTTTATGTGGTTATTCCGTACTGTACGGTAGGGTAGTACTTACTGTACAAGGGGCGAGCGAGGTTTAGTTGTCAGTTGATGAATTTTGAGTTGAATCTGTTAACAACCGATGAATTGACCACCCTGGCCCACAAACACAAACCAAGCCTACGTCATCGTTGAATGAGGCAGGGAGAAAGAACTTCAGCTGGGGCTGGTTTGGCTGAGCTGGACTGGACTGGGCTGGGCTAGTTGGGGGCGAATCACAGCACAGCGTACAGCATTTACTGGCGGTACAGTACCTAGAATACTAGAATACTAGGTACTATACAAGGAGGAGGTTGGGGCTTTATCTCTAGATTCCGCCAGTACATACGGAGTACATTACGCTAGTTTCAGGGGCCGTTAGGTAGCAGCTGTAGCAGCTGTCACTGTCCCGGTGTATGCGGTCGCAGCAAAGTTCAGATCCGATCGACTTATCCCCAAGATAATGCTATTCTTGTTGCTGACATCGTCATAGAGATAGATACTAAGTCACCTAACTCAACTTACCTCCAGTCGGTGAGTATCAACGAAAGGGTTCGACTATTGCTTCAGATGGTGGACGATCTCCCTTCTTTCTCCCCCAGATCGGGGAATGGAGAGCCCTGATTTGGTGATCCTTTCGCCTCTCCACCTCCCCCGGGGGCTATTCTGGCATGTAGTACGTATGTAGGAAGATATCTTGTCCTATACGTAGTATGTACAATATGGGAGCACGGAGTCCTGTACGGAGCACTGTACGGAGCAGTACAAATCATTGTGAGTCGAGGGAGATAGTGAGTGCTGGCACCTTATTAGTTAGGGGTCTTCATTTCCTGGGTAATGTCCTTTCATTTACACATCTGCGTCTTTTATACCAGATCACATATTTCATCTATCAGATCCAGGTGAGGATCGACAGGCACACACAGCCTCAACAACCTCGATGATGTCGAGTTCGGGATCATCAACCCTCTATTTAGTGCTTGGTGCTTGGTGCCTGGTGCCTGAATTGAACCACGGTTTCTGGGAGGAGGGGGGAGGGGTTAAACATAGAAATGACGCCGCCTCTGTGACCCAAGTAACGTACAGTAGACTACTAACAGCAACAACAATAGCAACCGACAAGAAGCCACCCCATCAACAACCACCGGAGTACAGTGCAAGCCACGCTACGCTAAGCAAGCAAGCAAGTAAGCAAGCATCGCAGCCAGCCCGCCAACGCATTGCATCCGCCTGGCCCCTCTGCCCCTGGGGCCATACATAACCTACCCTGTCTACATTCATCCGTCTAGAACAACAAAAGAAGGGAAAAAGGGAAAGGAAAAAAAAAGGAAAAGGAAGGAGGCAGGGATAAAGTATGAATGGGGGCGGACCCCGAACATATTTGGCGAGTCGAGTCAATTACCTAGTACCTAGACTACTGTTGTCGTCCCAGGGAAATCGACCAAGCTAGTAACCTACTCATAGGAGCAAAGAATGGAATGTGTCACATAGCGCGTAAATCCCCCCCATTAGCGTCCCGAGCAGCTAGAGCAACGGGATTCTCTGTCCTGCACAGGGGACTGGGACTGTATAGGATAACTTAGCTGTCACGGTGGATTTTTGTCTTACTCTTCCAATGTTCCTGCCTTTGTCATTCCCTAACTACTAGACAAAAAGGAACGCCTGCATTTGATCTTGCATTTTGACACGGGCGAGCAAAAATAACAATCCCCCCCCTCCCCCAAAAAAGAGCGACCGTCCAATTGCAACTCTGTCAGCAGCTTTGTCGTGTCTCTCTTTCTCCCCTTTTGAGTCAAAACAGGGCGAATTGGAGTTCAATTTCTTGAATATATTATCTCCTCCACACCTCCCCCAAAGGGACACAACACCCCCACTGGCCGCTTCGTTCTTCATTCTCGATCCACGTAAAAAAAGAGATCCCTCTCCCTCCTCCCCCTCCCCTCCTCTTCCTCTCTCTTTCTTTTCCCTCCTCTCTCTCACCCTCCACCTCGTCGTCCCCGTTCCCCGCCCAATGTTATAGAGAAGCACTTCTCTTTTTTGTTTTTTTTCGTTTTCTTTTTTCCTGTGCTCTGCTTCCGGCAGCCTGTCCCTCGTTTAGAAACCAGATTTCCCTAATCTGTGTGGTTTTTTGTTTTTCTTTGACTCTTGTTTTGTTTCCTGGTGTTTTTTTTCTTTTTCGTTGTTGGGAACATTTGCTTGCTTGCATAGCATAGCCTCTCTCTCCCCCTCCGCCGCCTTACTACGGAGTTGCTCTCCACCTCAACCACAACAAACCCACCCGACCCGGTCACTCATTTGAATACTACTAGAGACCACCCCCCATTTTTAGAACAACCACCAAAAAGCAGCAGACAGAAATTTGCTTATTCGCTCGCTACTCGATTGTCCGGAAGGATTACTGGATTTGGCTTGATCGCCTTTTAATCATCGTCATCATCAGCTTCATCAGCTTGCTTCATCAACTTACTCCCTTCTTGTTGTATACCGACCGCGACATACGCCATTCGTTCAAAACCAACCCACCAACCACACCATCGTTTGCAATTATTTCTTGCTTGCTAGCAACCTCACACTCATTTGATTCCCAAACAAACCAAAGAACACCTTCGAAGGAAATAGAGACAATAGACAGAAAAAAAAAAACCATGGAGTGTTTTCGGCAGCTAGGTCGACTGATTAAGGCCCCGTTCAAGCGCGAGAAGCCGCAGCCGCGGGTGCTGGAGATTGTGAGTTTGGCAACATGCATACCCGGGATGCAAGATTTCAAGTTACTGATAAGGGCGCTGCAGGGTCCCCCTACAAACTTTCGGAAGGAGGAAATGCCTTCGTTCTTCCCGGACGACGAGTAAGTCCGATTCTGTCCACACTGGACGGTGTGGGGACTAACTTGTTTGTTTGTAGTGCCGCAACTCTGCACAGTCGTGGATCGACCTTGGAAAGAGAAAAGGATATCGCCATCGCGGCCATTGAACGGCAACAGTCGACACGGGATAAGATCAAGACGCATGTCCGGCGACTGAGTCGGACGGCGGCGGCGGCGGCTCCCAAGCCGCTGGCTGAACAGGAGGAATGAATGTTCATTATATCCTCCTGATAGACATTGTCAACGACGATAGTGATGACGAAGACGATGACGAACAACCCCGCCATCATTATGGGAGAAACTCGGTGCCCAACCTGACTTTGTCAACGCCATACACGCACACACGCACACACACGCAACGGAGCAATGCGCGCGCGCTTGCGCCCGGAATCATAATTACACATCACCTCAGAGAAGGAAGGTTGGCACTTCGTTGAGACGCGATTTCTTCTTCGCCTTTGGATCAATGCCTCGTGGATTTTGCGGTGGAGGAGGAGCTTCACTGGACGATGACGACGACGACAGGCGGGATTGGACCTGGATGTTCGACTTGGGCGGCGGCTCTGGAAGCTGATCCCAGTCATCAAAGATTAATCTCCTTTTGGAAATAATAGTGGTTGGAGTTGGTGTACGATATGTAGTAGTAGTGGTGGCATTCATAGACTGCGCTTTTTTGGATTTTGGCTCGATCGTAGGAGTTCTGTAGGATGAAGACTTGAGTGAAGCATCCGAGCTCGTCGCGTAGTTATGTTCCTCTGGAAGCGGAGGAGAGCGTCGCGATTGTCGTCGTCGCGAAACTTGGTGAGGTGTGGTCTTCACATGCGCATGCGCATGGGCATCGAGGTCATCGTCCTCGTCCTCGGATGCCGTTGCATCCTCATCGTCGTCAACTTGGTGTCCATCATCTCTCCCATGTCCGCTACCCCCACCACCACCATCACCACCACCACCCGCACCCCCAATCCCAGCCCCAAACCTCCTTCCAATCCCCCCCGGCGCCTGCGCAAACCCCGCCGCCGCCCTCGTCGCCGACCGTATCCTCTGCATCCCGACCAACGACCGGTTCTTCCTCGGACTAACCATCAACTCATGCAACGAAGTCCCCGCCCAGGTCTCATCCTCCTCTTCCTCCTCTTCTCCGTCTTCCTCATCCCCACTCACGACTGGCCTTACCCCAGCAGTCATCGTCGCCAACCCCTCCCGCTGCCTCGCCGCCAACTCCTCCTGGGCGTTTCGCTTTTTACTCTCCCCACTGAGCGGGGTGACCCCATCGGTGGGTCTTTGTTGCTGCTGCTGCAGAAGTTCTCGCTGCTGCGCCTTCACCTCCTTCTTCCGGCGCACGTACTCGGCGTAATGCAAGTGCTGGGTGAAGGACTGGGCGACGCTATAGAATTCGTCTTCGACCATCATGTAGATGTCGTCGTTTTGGAGGCCGGGGATGAGATATCTTTTGGGGGAGGGGGGGGGGGGTTAATTAGCATTCAACATGTAGTGTGGGGTTGAAGGGGAGAGGGGCAAGGGTGGCTAACTCTTCCGATGGACAGCGGTGGATGGGGGATGAGGGGGGTGTTGGGGCTTGAGATTGGTGAGTTAGTTCTCTCTCTCTCCCTCTCTCTCTCTGCGCCGCGAACGCAATGATTGAGAAGTAGGTTGTGGGTGTGGGAAACATACAGGATCGAAGGAAGTCTCGTCGACGGGTGCGAGATCCCCCTGAGCCCGGGGGGCTGCTGGTTAGCTTGCGCGCATTGTTTCGCGTGGTTGATGAAGCTGCCGCCGCCGCTGCTGATGATGAGGTCGCGCCCGCGCGACGGGGTTGCGGTGTGGAGGCTCGGGAGTGGATTGCTGAGGAGGATGAGGAGGGTTTACTGCTCGCGGTGGTGTCGAGAAGCCAAGGGAGATTTCGGGGCATTTTTGGCTGTTGGTGTTAGCTGCAAGCTTTGGAGGACATCCTTTGATCTTTTTGAAGGTAGGATGGTTGCGTTGGGCTTGGAGCTGCGATATGGATCGCGACGGGTAATTTGGGAAACGCGTTCAATCTCCCGCGGGCCGGGAAGACCCCGCCTCTTTGCTTTTAGATCTAGGTTCTGCCCATATAACCCTCTTGGGAGGGCTGGTTGCTCCACCTCCCGGTCTTTAAGCCAGCGAGCCAACCCGAATTGGCCGGCGGGCGGCAGTAGTGAGTTCAACTGTTAAGTTATCCCCTGGCTGCTTTCACTTTCACTTTCACTTTCACTTCTTTGTCTGATGACTTTGAATTGTTGATGTGAGGATATAGTTTCAACTTTGGGTATCATATTCTGGTCAATCTTCTAAATACACACTTTCTCTCGCGAGAGCAAAGAACATCACTTTCTCCCCCGGATCTCATCCCCAACATCATAAACAAAAGCCCACAAACCCCATATCAAACGCCCAATCCCAAACCCAGCGAGACAAGAAATTCGTATTGTCCCGCACCCGTATACACAAAGAATCTCTGCTGTAATGCATAACGCCATTTCTCAGAATAAAGAGACAAACCAGCCGAGCGCATAAAGGAACCTGAAACCAAATAACCCTTGCCACAACAGCAGCATCTAAACCTCTCCAGGCCGCTTGCTGTTACAGCTCACAATCTTCACCTTGTCCGCCGACACGGTGGTCTGGTTGTCCAGCTTGAACGTCACGTCCTTGATCAGGAAGGTCCAGACTTCATCGCAGAATCGGTAGGTGTCGAGGTGGCCCTGTAGCGTTCACGCATGGATGGTTAGTTATATCGTTGCTGGAAGGATAGACCCAGGCCTGCTGCGCAAGGAGTGTGATCTCCACGGAATAAAGCTTGGCTTTTCAGGGAAAGAGGCAAGACGGTACCTTGAAAGTCAGCCTCGCGCGCACCTTATCCGCCAGCACCTCGGTCACGATGCGGTCGAAGGTGGAGAGGATCTTCATGGCGAGTTGGGGCTCGATCCGGCCCTCGTTGATCAGGTCGTCCAGGGTGTCCGTGAGGGAGAGGCCGATGCTGTTTTTGGTTGTGCGTTAGTCTGGGTGGGTTTCTCCGGGCGTTACTGAGGGGGGAAGATGTACCTGCTCCCGCGGTAGAGCTCGTAGTATGCCTGGGCGCTCATCTTTTTCACTTCTTTGGCTGGCTGCAGAGGTCGGGGCGAATTTAAGCAGAGTTGTCGGGGTTTTTCGTGGTGTGGGCCGAGGTCGGGGAACGTGAAGGGGGTATAATCAGTCGGTTTTGTCAGCTGGTGGAGTTGGAGGGTTGGAGTTGTGACTGCCAGAGAGATATCTTCACGTGATGCGGGTCTCCTGGGGAGTTGGGGTCGGGTCATGTGACGTAGTGTATCGCTTTGCCATCCATTACATCAATGCGACGCGATTTAAAGGGCGTTGGGAGTAAATGATCAAGAAATCGATGGTCTCGAAAGAAAAAAAAATAACTTCATCACTTCACGATGCTCAGTCTATGCTTAACTCGCAGGCCCTCAAGTCTAACGAGACTGGCCTCATCGACTATCTGTCAACATACGCTCTTTGCGCACATTCCTTCCGAAACAAAGTATATCTCCTCCACCGCGTGTAGATTAGCAGATACTAGTACCAAGGGTCAGTTTAAAGACACATCATGACCAATACATCTTAGTTTATTGATTCCCACTTTTCGACTAACATATAATAGACGAAGCCCCATCGAATACACAATCATCCAAAGAAAACACACCTACAGCTAAGAAGCCTACCACCGACCCCAAATCGAAGAGTGTCTCGCAGGCAGACCAAGAGCTCCGGGAGCGCCTTGAGCAGATGTCTGGAGGCGGTGGTGCTTCCGGGATTGAGTACGAGGACGGCAAGCCCACGGCTATGAAGCGCAGCGTGCGCAATAACATGTTTCGCTATATCTGAGAGACGAGACGGCTTGACGCATTAGGTTGCTATCATGATTCAGGCTGATGATCGAGTCTGAAGCGAGTCGCGCGACCAAAATACCTTTCCCCTTGTGGTAACTAGAGGATACAGCCCTGAGCCTGCACTCCTGATGATTCAATTTACCCAAGATACAATCGGATAACGAGAAATGATACTCTACCTGTCAATCGAGATCACATTCTGTCAAGCATATGTATCAAAGATCCTAATTGTAGCTATAATATTATCGCAGAGGAGTCCAATGGCCGCCGTAGAAACGCCTTACGCATATACTGCAAATATGCCCTCCGAAATACTGGTACTTGACGCCTTGAAGTGCAGGTCCAAATCCAAGCCAAAGCCAGCCAAGCCAAGACATCTGTCTACACATTACCGAGACTGCTGTCCAGCATCTTACATGTTTCCAATCATGCCTGCCAGAACACCCGCGCCAATGACACCCCCATCAGACGCCTCGCGCAAGAACACCGATTTGCCGCTCTTCTGCGGACCCGTTCTCATGATAAGTCGATCGATGTACTGTTGGCACATCTCCTTGAAGCTAGGATAATGCTGAATGATCCCACCTGTGTATGCGACCACGAGTTCCTCGGGCCCTGACTGCCAGTCTGCAGGAACAGGCGTGGGGGACAATACCGGAACAATAGGCCCATTAATGCTACTTGATCCACTCGTTCCTGGTGCTTCCGGTTCTAAATGCTTTGAGACCGCGGATAGATCCAGATTGGCATTGATCTCAGTTGTGGGAGAACCCCCGGGACTGTCGACCTTTAGTTCGATCTCCTGCGCACAAGCAAGAAGTCCTACAACGGCTGCCGCGATCAAACCTGCAGATCGCCGTTGCACGGTCCTAGCTATCTTGCGGAAAGCGTTGGCCGACGGTGCATCCCAATTCCACTCGCTAGATTCAGGGGGCGGAAGGGACTGAGCCAGCTCACTTGCGAGTTCATGATCGGACCGGGAGCGAGCAACCTTGTCAGATATGAAGGAGGTCGTCAATGCATATTCTTTCACAAGAGATGCGGGCAGATCCTTCTTGGATAAACCACCTTGGGTTGAGAGATAATCACAGAGAATGAGCCGAACGAGTTCGCCAATGTAACGACCTCCAGTCATATACTCGAACGGTTGAAACCCCGGTCGTGCACATGCCTGATCAAGCTCGATGTCCCAATGGGTGATTATGTGGAGCTCTTTCAACGGCGGAGCGGCACCGGAGATCGTCCATTCGGTGTTGACCACAGTTTCGTCGGCCTCGGGATTTCTCTGTCGTACCTGTTTTGCTTTGGAGCTGTGGAGCGAGCTAAGCTTCATGGGAATGGTTGCATTGCAACCCGTCCCCACAATAATTCCCATCGCAACTCTGCTGTTGGGTAATGACTTCACAGAGTAGGCAAGCGAAGCAATAGTGGCCACGGTGTCATTGGTGATTGCCGCGATCTTTAATTTAGGGAGGTTGAAGAGCTTCCGCCGTTTGCTGGATGGTTCACATTCATCGTCCGGGCGTCTGGTGTGCTTTTCATAGCCACTTAGAAGGATTCTGCGGAGATCGAGGTCGGATGAAATCGCGAAACCTTTGCCCATCGGCATCAACGTCGCCTCAGTGAGCGATTCTTGCCTAGGTTGCGTTAGTAAGACAGGATTTACCCTGCCAGCTCGCTGGGTAACACTTACATGATGGGAAAACTAAATGTAATGCCCATCTCTAATTCCTCCGGAATCTCGCCGCGAGTGCTCTCCGAGGTCAAGCTCTCCGCCACGACCTCCGCGATGCAGTCGCCAATCCAGGAGAACAGGTCCTCCGCCTTATCCATCTTCAGATGCTCTTGAATGGGCCATGCTCTTTCTAATGTCCGCTTCACACGCTGTCTCTGTGCCTTGCGTAGGGTATCTCTCGACCTCGCTGAAGCATCGCCAGGCGGTGTATCAGACTCGGCCGCCTCTCCAAGCAACTCGATGAAGGCAACCCGTAGATTGGTTCCGCCGACATCGATGGCTAGGTATCGACCCGTCTCCAGACCGGTGGGTAGACGGGTAACCGGTGTTGGTAGGAATTGCTCCTTGGAATGCAGGGCTAGGTCTTTATAGATCGTGGAGAAGCGGCGCGCGAGCTGATACAGGACCGCTTCATCCAGAACCAACGGCGACAGAAATTCATCCAATATACGCTGGCGTTCTAGGTATTCCTGGTGTGAGGGGTCCATTTCAGCGTTCTCCTCCTCGTCCTCTTCTTCGAGTGGATCATCGTGTATGTTTTCATGGTCTTCATCCCTGCTTTTGTCCACCTCTATCGAACTCGTGGACGTCATGTTGTGAAGGGTTCCGCGCCGAGGAGGGCGGTCGAACAGGCAAGTTACCGACGCGTGTGACTTGCAGGTAGCAATCGTTTCGGTGAAGAGTGACTTGTGCGACAGAGCGGTAAGTTGGCGGAAGGAAAGGGTTCAGGTATGGTGTTTGTCTGCGTGTCCTCGCGGAATGTTTTCCAGGTAGGACGGGATGTGGGGGAGCAGGAATGAGGATTTCAGTCCCGGTGATAGGATGCATACAACGGTGAGCCCTGTCGTACGCGATCCTGTTGATTGCTGAAGGAATTCAAGATGCAAACCCTAGCCGGGGGTCTTTCCGTGGGGATTGTAGGTCCAAGGACGATAGGTTCTCCAAGGGGGGGACGTTATCTTGCAGCTTGCTCTAGACTATGATGAGTGTGACGGTCAGCTCCCAAGGTTACAGTCAATGCACGGGTTCTAGCGCGGACGTTGTCAATTCAGTGGCCTGTCTGTATGATGAAAAGAGGAAAGGCTGAGATATCTTGCCGGACGAGAAGGGTGCGACAGTGACGATCATGATGCAGGGAGTCTGGCAAAAAAAGTGGACTACAAGAAGGGGGAGGGAGGGGGGAGCGAAGGGACAGAGGCATACTCTTGTAAGTCAAAGAACCCCACCAGGACGGTAGAACACAGTTGACTGTGGGAAGTATGTACCTTGAGGTGTGATAGTGAATGATGCTGGAAGAGCACAGGTGGAAATACTCTCAATTAAATATTATGATCATTTTCCGTACAATAGAAAGAAAACAGGACCAGCCAGTGAGTAAGAATTCATTGCCATTCCCCACCCCAAGAAGACTAAAGTAGTTCAGTAGCCAGACGGTGGGCAAGAAGGGGCACGACGGAGAAACGGAGAAGAAAGGAAAGAAAAGGAAATAGGTTGAAGTGGTAGAAGAGAAGAAGGAAAAAGGGAAAAAAGAGTGACGAGTACGTATTAGCCTTCAGAGCCGCCGGCCGTTGTGGATGGGGAAAATGCAGATGCGACCATCGGCGGACAGACGATGTGACGCTACCATGGAAGGAGTGGAGGATGTACTACTAAGTTACTACTAGTTGTAGTAGTAACTAGTACTCGGTCAATGACCCATGATGATAATGGCTCGATCTGATTCTGGACCCTCATCACCCCCCTTCCAACTAATGGAATGCTATTCAGTTGTAGTTGAATTGTACTGTAGCCTATCTGGTGGTGAGGTTCCGCTGACCAAGCCTCTCACCATAATCAATGATTAGTTGTGATTGGAACCTGTGGGTTGTGAGGTGATAGACAACAACCCCAACAACAACAAATAATTGTTGTTGTTGTCGTTGTTGTTGTTGTTTTCCCTTTGATTTTCCACCACCCACACCCCTTCGTGGTCTTTTCCCCTCCTGGAAACCGTCCCCTTCCCGCTAAGTAGTCAACGTCACCTTCTCCTCTTCCTCTCTTATCTCAAATACCACGCCAATATACAAGAAATTCCCCTTCGTTTCCAATTGGTGACCGCATTTCCTCCTTGGTGTCAGGTCTGATTTGCCATGGAATCAACTTTCAGCCAAGCCTAGCTGCACCAGCTGTCATTTAAACTACTGACTGCCTCGTTCCGCTCTCGCCTTGCATCGAGGCTAGTATGCAATGGATGCTCTTTTTCACCAACACCGCTGTCTTGAATTACCAGACTACGAACCAGATTATCGCAATTTGAAACAGAATCGTTGATAAAATTGGTAGCTCGTCATCCTGGTTCGAGTGTCTATCTAGCCATGTGGTAAATGGTGGGCCATTTGTCCCATATGCGTATCATGTCCGTTGAGTCACAACATGATGCCTTCCAAGCCTTGCTTTGGGGATACGTACTAGGCGTTAGATCAAACTCTCCTATTCCAAGAAGACAGCCGAGTGGAGGAATAGGTGAAGTCGAGTCAGATGGGATTTACGCTTCGACCTCTATCTGTCGGCCCTTCGTATAGTCTCCAGCATAGCCGACCAAACGACTTGCTATGACACCACGCCTCGATGCCAATGCTCAGTTGTGAACCTGCGAAGTACTGACGGCACTACTCTCAGACCACTGCTGCCCTCGCCGGAGAAAGTTCGTTCGCCCCGATTGGTCAGCCGAGAAGTCTGGGTCAGTGATGACTCCTCGCTTATACTTGCGATGTTGTGACCACGGCGCGGTGAGCCCCAGTCAGACAAGCCACAGGATACAAAAGAGACGTCCATACGAGTCCTCGGACAGAGAAGAGAGTCACCACCACCGCAGGTTTCGTTTGGGAGGTGTGAATTGCGTCAGATGCAGGTTGCTCTGGGCAATACGGTCAGAGCTCCGAAGTCGGAGATTCACTGGGGGGCAAGAAGAGATCCAGGGCAGGACTGATGACCGGTACACTTGCGGAGGTTCCGGGCCAGCCAAGCAACTTGCCCTGTGATCTGCGCGCGACAGGCTAACGGGTCCCGTCATAGTAGTCGCATATCTTTGTATGCTATGCACTACGGAGTAGTCTAGTCATCCTCCTTGTTGACCCTTAGTGTGCTACTTGAGATCAAGGGCCTCCACTAAGAATACTGCTGATACTCGGGGGGCTTCCCTCTTGTGTCAATTAGCGTGATAGGCCTCGTCACCGAGCTCTGGATGGGGTGCCTGCCTGCAGACAGCTAATTCGAGGCGCCTTAGTTCCATCTGGCATCGCTCCACGGGTTGCACTATCAGGTCCACGACGACCGTGCTCACTGAAAGGCATTTAAAACGAATGGAATTCAAAGGTCCGGTGTTTCAAGTGCCATGTATATTGCTTTTCTTTGTAATCGGCGTGGATGTTAGATTACTCCCCTCATGGCTAGATTGTAGGCTAGAAACTTAGGTTTGGGGTTCCCGATAGTAAGTCAAAGTCCTGCGGGTTAACTTAGCTCTAGTAGCTCAGCATGGCAGTAGCATGTCTCAGTTGTTATTCGGCATTCGTAACTTGCGACAGCAAACATTGAATAATATGCTCACCGTCCAAAATTTGGAGTCAGAATGCCTTAAGTGGATGAGGTGTTCACACCGGGTGGACTGTCAACAACTGATCTATGCCGTGTTCTGACTCGCACGGATCAGTACGAATAAGCCGCTGCGTGGGTCGTAGCCGTCCATCCAGCTAGGGCTGCTTCGAAGCTCATCGAGAGTCGTAGTGCGTATGTAGTGCATAAGGCGTTGGTTCAGTCTCAACCCCGGCAGCATTGCTGCAACAATGCAACCTCAATGATTCATGCAAGAAGCATGGCAATCGAGGTTCACATAGACAGCAAAACGAAGTAGAACGGAATCTCTCAATCTGAGCCACACTGCTGAAGCATTGCGCAATTAACGATCTGAGATTCCCCTAACGATCCGACAACTGCATTGATGGGACCTGTATGAACGTTTTTGGGCTGTTGTTCGCAAGTGTAACGCGAGGGCAAATTGCCGGGCCGCTGACTCGTTGACATCCATTAATCACGGATCACGATCTTCCCCCACCACCTTTCCCTGATCTCACCCTCCCGAATTCAGCCCAGCCCATTCCATCCTCAACTTGCACTACATTGCCCACAACCTAGTACTCATCGGAGTACTACAAGCTCTGCCAAGATGGAAAAGAGAGCCCACGAGACCGGCTACGTTGACATCGCCGACTCCACTCTTCCCCATTCCATCAGCCGCCGACGCGACCGGTTCATTACCCGGCTCGCCACTTATCTGGGGACTGTTGCTCTTATCGGCTTGCTCGTGTTATGGACGACAAACTCCATTTCCGGCATCTACTTCTTCTCTTGTCACCAAGGCAAGAGATATCAGAAGGGCTCTACGCTGACAAGTGATGAGGCGCTCTTCATGCCCGGGTTGCCCGGGACCTCGCTCTCAGCGCAAACCACCAAGAAAGTGCCCCTGGAAGCTCACATTATGAGCAAATGTCCAGACGCACGTGACTGTCTGCAGCAGCTTGTCGTGCCTGCGATGGAGCAAATCAGCGACAAGGTCGATTTCAAATTGTCATTTATTGCTAGGTGAGTTGTGCCTGTCTCCTGTCTGGTCTCATGTCCATGGATTCACAAATACCATATGAGCTAATATTACACTCTAGTGTGTCAAACAAATCCTCAGAAATTCAATGCAAGCACGGCCCGACCGAATGTATCGGAGATATGCTTCTTCTCTGTGCTGCAAATCTTCCTTTCCCTCCTCAGGGAGTCGAAAGCGCTGTTGGTCCAATGACTGCGCGTACCCCGACTATTCGGTCCCTTGGCTTTGCAAACTGTCTTGTTGGGTCGTACTCCAAGATCCCGGAACGCCATCACGTCGAGCAGTGCGCATTGGAGCATGGCATAGACTTTAGTACCTTGAACGCATGTGCTAGTCAGGAAATCGATGATCCCGACTATGGCGGCGACAGTGCGCCGCTCAGCGGCATGGCTTTGCTACGCGAGAGCGCCATCCATAGTGCAGAGCTTGGCGTCAAGACAAGCTGCACGCTTCGACTTGATGAGTCTGTCTGGTGTGTCCGCGATGGCGGCGTTTGGAAAGATTGCGCAAAGAATGGACAGGGCAGCCAAGTATCGGTGCTGGCGGATGAAGTCAAGCGACTATGGGACCGGATCAATTGATACCATCGATTGTATGATATGATGCCGATGCCAAGTGATGATTGATGACAACTTGTGCCCTGTTCTTGTCATCTCAACAACATGTGAACATAATTGCCTCAACTGTGTTTTTTTTTTTTGTTTGTTTGTATGTTTGAATAGTGGCCTCAAATCTGTTTATAACCCAATGGACTCTTTAACCCCCACATCAGCCTTTCATACGCAGTTTCGACATCCGCGGCCACCTCTAGTGTGTGAACATCCGTATTGAGTCTGTTGTTGTCAAGCACATACTCGTAAGTGAACCATTTTACTTCTCAGTGGACGCGCGCTATCTATGCTCTTCCTGCCACTCTCCATCATCGTCATTTGCCCTGTGTTTGTGCAGAAAGTGCCACCA